GACTCCTTAAGTAATGCAAACAAGACACATCTACCTGATGTCCACCCATCTGAATCTTCCCTAAAACCTTTTTTTCCCCCCTTTTTAAACATGTAGAGCAATATCATGCTTTGTCACTTCTATGGCACCTCCAGCCCTAACCACAAGTCAAAGCTGTTTGCCTGAATACAAAATAATCAGAGAGACCTTGTTAGAGAAAACAATCAGGCTGGAAAGTATTCACACCAAAAAATGTGCCATGTGGCATTACGCCCATTGAGGACATGGGCTAGGTGACATTCACTCTGATTTACTGCCTGACGAGCCATGAGGAAACACGGATTATTCTCTTTGGTATTATGGTGGATTTCTGTTCACCTATCTCTATCTATCACCTACCTCTTCACACACATATTTATTTACACATCCTATATACAAATGTGACAGATATAAATATGTCCAATACATATGCCATACATATACAAATTTTAGAAGGTAAATGAAATAACAGGCGACCTAGAGTGAGAAAATTTTCACTCCACTTCTGGCTGTGCCTCCTATAAGCAAAGAGATAGAACAAGTCACAAGCCTGTGCCTCAGTTTCCTAACTTGTTACACGAGGTTAACTCCTGCCCCATCTAGAGAAGGAACTGAATGAGGTAATCTACAGGAAACGGCTTTGAAAAGTACAGAGCCCCACACAAATGCTAGGGATAATGAGGTGTTTTACAAAAGAGCATTATTCCTTTGCTAAGACATGTACACCCACATTCACGTTTTCTGTCTGTGAAGGTCCTTCTTTGAAATTAAATTGAGACCATAACCAACACCCCTCCCAGGGCTGCCTGAGGTTTATACGCAGCAACAAAGCAAGGACTTCTTTTCATCATTCATCACATTTGAGTTCAAGCACTGAGAGGTACTTTTTACCAGTGGTGAAAATAGCTTTCTTTTCACAGCAGAAACCCAGAAAATGATCTCTCTCTTGATGCTAATGTAAGGATAAGGCTTATTCTACAGTTGGCACCAAAATGGCTTGGATTTGGCTTTGTCGACGGTGTGTTCTTGCACCAGGAAGATGGGAGCGATGAAAGAGAGAGAGCATGAAGCTTCATTTATGCGTGAGAATAATTCAAATAGAGATACATTTTCAAATGGGAGTCTTGTTTCCACTTTTCTTTCAGCTTTTTAGTGCCAGCTGGATCCTCCGTTCTCAAAAGTAAGTTAAGATAAAATCCTTCATGCTCTCAGTCAACCCCGATTATACCCTCCTTCTGCAGATACCGGCAGTGTTTTCCGAGTTAAGCACAAGTCCCCAGCCAGGCCTATCAGACTCCAAACTTCCTTCCCTAGCACTTCCTCCTGCTAACCTCCCCCGAAGCACTGTGTTCATTTGCTGTCCTCTGCTGCCATGTGGATGGTGCCTGTGCTTTCAACACGGATGGGTTTGGTCCCGCTCTGCCTTGTCTGAAGATATTTTCTACTTCCACCAGCATATGACTCAGCCCATCTCAGCCTACTGCAACCCTCTGCAACCTCCAAGGCGCATCTTACACGCCACTAATTCCATGCAGTTTTCCCTAACACCCCTATCCAATTGCAATCTCTTCCCTTTCCAAATAGATTTTAATTTCCTCAGATTATTAAATAAAAAAAAAACCCACACCACCACCCACATTCATTGTGTGTCTTTGGTTGGCACACAAATCATTCTGTCTGGCAGGTACATCTCCCCATTGCAACAAAAACATTAAGGCTCCTTAAGTTAAGGGTGGCTTCTTATTTTTTTTAGCTTCTGTTATGGAAAATTTCAAACATAAACAAAGTAAACAGAAGGCCTTGTTTATTTTTGCATCTCCTCTGGGACCTATCACAGTGTTTTGCATGTAGCAGAAGTAAATTTAAGTAATTAGGGCCTGAGGCAAATGGAGCTGTCTGCATATGTGACTCCATGTTTGCTGGATGGTTAAGCTTTTCCTTGGTTACACGCTCGCACACACACACCCCACACACCTGTAGGATCACAGTCAACATGGGGTAAACCCTGTCACCAACTTTAAAATTCAGGGGAAGTGTTTACCCTTAAGGTTACTTCAGATAGTTAGCAAAGCTAACGATACTTGAGGGGATGAGGTGAAAAATGTATACAGTTAAGAATATTTTCTAAGAGAATTCTAATCTGGTTGTATATCTATGCAGTGTTCCCAGTAAGACACATTTCTTTCAAGTGTACAATTTTTTATAGATATAGATAACCTACAAATAGGAGGGGCTCTCTACACATAGCAGAATTAGTTTCTCTTTATCTTACATTATTAACTGATACAAATATCATTGAGGTGTCTTCCTTTTCCTGAAATCTCAACCTCAGACTTTTAAGTCTGCTGTTTTAGGCACTTTTCAAATTTATGCCTAGTTAGCCCATTCTCATTCTCTCTCTCTCTCTCTCTCTCTCTCTCTCTCTCTCTCTCTCTCTCTCTCTCTCTCTCTCTCTCTTTTCTCTCTCTCTCTCCTTTGGGGAGAAATGAAATCCTTAAAACAAACCAGAATTCGAGTGAAAGATTACATGCCCAAGCTGTGTCATATCCAATTAACTCAAATTGACTGTACACTGCATTATTCGGTTAGTGCATGGAAGATCAATAAATATGGGGACAATCCACCCAGCTCCCCACTTTCCCATCCAACTCGAGTAGGTCTGAGGCGGATCATGCTACTGTGATGTGTGTGCCACAGCCCAGGCAGGCAGGTGGTGCATAGACACCATTCAAACTTGGCCTATTCAATCCCAACTCCTCTAACTCGCCATTCATGCATAGCAAAACACCATCTGGTCCTATTTTGCCTCCAGCAATCACAGCTGACCAAAAAACGATAATAACAGCTGTTGCAAAACAAAAGCCAAACAAAGGGGGTTGGGGGGGAGAAGGAAAGGTTAGACTGAAGTCCAGTGCTGAAAAATGCTCCATGGAGTGAGAAACGGGAGAGAGGCCATTCAGACGTCCGGAGCCCGCTGAATGCACACAGCGGAGGACTTCTACTTAAACCTGAGATATTAATCCATCTGTCTCGAAAGCCTTCAAACCTCTGTCAGGTGGTAAGACATTGCAGAAATTATGCTGCACGAAGGCATTTAAGCTTTTGTGCTTGGTGTTGGGAACGAAGGACCCCATGATGTCAGCTAAAAAGGAAAATGCCTTATGTTCTTCCATCATAAGGCAGCACAGGTTAATGCAAACGCGGAGACCATGTTTAGCCAGAGAAATAAAATAATGTGCACGCAGCAGGGGAGGAGAGAAAAGGTATGTGTGATGAAGGTAGAGGGTGCGGCAAGCTCTCTTTGTGACTGTAGGCCACTTAAGAGGGAAGGCATTTAGGCCACGGAGGCAGCCTAGTCGTCAGAGATTACATTTCTCACGAATTTTTCATTATCCTGATCTATTTCTGACCTGTAACAAAAAAGTACACCAAGCACTAACTATATCTCCATAATAGGAGCCAGAGTCACATACATACGACGAAATACAAGTTGATCCCTAATATTCTTTAGCGAATCCTGAGAAAAATAATTTGGCACCAAGATTGGGCGAATTCTTTTCATGATTCAAGCCTTTTGGCGTTCCCTAGTTTTGCCTGATGATTAATTTTTGAAACCATAGTAATTGAAGTATTTTTTTTTTAATGACCATCAGTGGCTTAGCAGCTTTTAATCAAATGTGATAAAATGCAAGATTTATAAAATCATTTAAGAGATGTTACAACACCTGCTTCTAACTGCAAACAGTTGAAAACAGACTTCACTTGCAATTAAGTCTTATCACTAGTGACATTTTTTTCCCAAGCAATACTTCATGGGTTTTCAAAATGACAATTACAGAGCTAATACACAATTACTGTCACATGTAGTTTAGCAATTAATTTTGAAGACATTTGTCTAAAGGTTTCACAACAGAATATAAAATGGTTCTTATTGTTATGTAATGTTAGTTTCAATTCACAGAAAATCTTCTACCATCAGCTCTGCTCCTGATGGGTCTGATGCGGGCAGCTCATTTCTTTGTGGAATACAATCGCCCTCTTGTAGATGTGATTAGGCATCATTCAAAGGCTGTTTGAGCACTGATACCTGTCAACTAATGCATCTTATGAAAAGCTTCAATTTGGACATAAATTTTTCTACAGCAAGAAATCTATAAATTTATAATTAGAATCTCTTGCTGTTCAATATTTGTACATAATACAGAGTACGAGAGAGGATTATGAAATATTGAAAGCTGAATTCATTATTCATAGGCCAAAACATACAGTAAATATTCTTTGCCATGCAACTTTGAGGTATCCATATTCCATTGTTTTTGAATGTCTTACACACAGTAATTATAGACACTCCGATTCACACCCTCATTTTTTTCCAGATTAGGATTCTGGTCAGGGTTGACACTTGCTGTTTTTAATTTTCATTTTATCATAAGCAGTTTAAGACTGTTGCCAGTGGTAATTTGCAATTTTTATCAAGACCTCTTCATTATAGCTTCTGACACGACAGATGCTGTAATTAATCATGCAAGACAACTGGGGATAGTGGTCGCACTGTTCTCAAAGACCAGCCACTAAAGAGCAAGAAAAGGGGGGAAGAAACGGGCACTGCAATAATTATTTTGGCTTGAGAATTAGCATTCGCCATCAGTTTTAACAGCAATAACAACACTACGCCAGCTAGCCCCAGCCCCAAAGAGAAGGCAATTGCTTTTTCCTCAATACTTACCTTGCCACATGCACAGCAATAAAAAGCTAATGACAAAAATATTTCCAATACTCTGTTTTTTCTGTGTGTGTGTGTGTGTGTGTGTGTGTGTGTGTGTGTGTGTGTGTTTTAAGGGTCCTGGTTTGGGGCCAGGCCATCCAAATTCTCTGCTATGAATATCCTATGTCCCACTGAAAATGGACGACAACCTTGGGCTCCAATAAAAGTTGGTATGTGGCCTACTTCCCCATCTGACATGTATTCAAGGAACCAAAAGTGAAATGTGACATATCATTTTATTTGAAAAGTGAACAGTTTCCTGGTTGTTGCATCAAAATACAGTCCACAGTTTGTACTGAAATGTGTTTATTCTATAGCAAGATAAAAGCATTTTTGTTTTAGTTAAGCAAAATACAAACAACTTAATTGCTGCTATCGTAACTCATAAAAAAGTATAAAACAGCATAAAAACACAATAAGCAACGTAGCAATGAATGGTTCATGTCACCAGTGTTTACGTTAAAGCCTCGTTTATGAAAACTTTACATCACATGATATGAAAACTTACAACTTTGAAAGAAAATATTTACATTGATTATTCAGATGTGGTGCGCCTTTTAAATATTCTACCAGTATTACATCATAATAAAAACTCTTGCTTTTTTTTAAATCTTAACTTTTGTAATAACCGTTTTCATTTAAGTTCCTTTCCCTTTTAAAAATACAGTGTTTTCATTTTTCGAAACTTGTCACTCAAAACACAGAATATAATATTCACATTCTTTTCTTCTAATTGGAATGAATATAATGGGCTAACAGTGGTCATAGATATTGTTACGACAGATACGGTGGTTCGATTTGGAGAAGTCATGGGTAAAAAGTGGAAATGAGTCAACAACAGAATCTAATCACTTGCTTTTTTTTTTTTTCTGGAGAGATTTAGGAAAAAAAGAAAAAAATAAGACCTTTGGCAAAAGTCTGTGATTTACATTATTTTTTTTTCATGACAAAAAAATGCCATCAACTATTCATGTCATACAAATGTTTGTATGAAATTGGATCTTCATATTTCAGGTAGTTACAACTGTGCTTTTTATATGTTTAGGGTTTCGGAAGTTCAAACAGGCTCGAAGTGCGGTTTAGTCACTTCTGGAGAAATAAGGCCATTTTCTATGACTCAGAGAGGCCAGTTTATAGTCATCAGCATGTCCCAGGATTCATGAAACAGTTTGATTCACATATTGTAGGTATAGCCTGAATAAATAAAAAAGGCATCACATAAAAGAGCACAGCTTGTCTTGTTTAAAAACAAAGTGGTTCCGAGTCCGCTAGAAGATGATGCTCAGCTACACTGTAGTTCTTATCGCCTATCTAATAGACACTCGAGAGGACCATGTGATCTGCCACACATGTCTGCGTAACCAGCGCCAACTCACAAGTCTCAGCCCCCGACGGCTGGTCTGCCACGCGCCTCCATACACACCCATCCGTCCGCCACGCGCGTCTTCAGAAAATACTGACCTGTGACAACACTTGAGTCTGTGTCTGAGACTGAATTTGCGACTGGTGCTGCTGAGAGGCTGGTGGGGGGCTCCCGATGGCAGGGATGGGGGGCGTCATCTGCGGGGTGACGGGGGAGTGCTGCCGAGGAGAAGGCTGAGACGGGCGCTGCATGTGCTGCAGCTGCTGCAGCTGGAGCTGCTGTTGGAGCTGCTGCTGCAGCTGCTGCTGGCTGATTTGCTGCTGCAGCTGCTGCTGCTGCTGCTGCAGGTGCTGCTGCATGTGGTGCTGAAAATGCTGCTGCTGCAGCTGCTGCTGCATCTGCTGCTGCTGCATCTGGTGCTGCATCTGCTGCTGCTGCATCTGCTGCTGCATCTGCTGCTGCTGCATCTGCTGCTGCTGGCTTTGCACGGAAGGGCTCACCTGGGTGGACGGTGGTGCGCCCACCAGGGTCGTGCCCATGGAGCTGATCAGCGGAGTCCCAATGTTCGATGGCATGTTGGCCGCGATGGTGACCGATGTGACAATCTGGTTCATGGGCAGCCTCATGGTCAAAGGCTTGGGAGCGATTGACCGAGGGAGCGACTGTTGCAGAGTCTGAGGTGATGCTGACACGGTGCCGTGTTGAGACAGCGGAGGGCTGAGAAGGAGGGAGGATGTCAGATTGGTGGACGCCAGGGTCTGCTGGACAGAACGAATGGTCTGCGCTTCTGCTGACTCCGCCGCCGCCTGAATTGGAAGAAGAGTCCAAAGTATGAAAACGTACGTGGATTTAAAATACATATTTTTAAGTGCTGCAAGTTGCTTAAGAAAATGGCCACCGCGGTTCACGCTGCCCTGTACACAGCCCTTTGTCATGTGACGTTCTGGCTCTTCTCAGAGCAGAATCAAATCCCCCGTCTCTTGAATCAGGGCTGGCCTTGTTCCTTTGCTCTGGTCAACAGGATGCAGTGACTGCGAGGTCTCCAGAGGCCTTGCACCCAACCTTCCCCCCTCTCCCTCTCTCTCTCAGCTTACCACTGCCACATGTGTGACGACAGACACGTGGCTCAGGCACCCCACCCAAGAGCCAGCTCGCTACCACGTATGTGAAGAAGTCCAGCCCCATGCCCCCACCCCCATCTCCAGGCTGACTGCAGACAGATGAGCAGAACCAGCCATCCTGCCCCGCTGGGCCTCGATCCGGAGAACCAGCCAGCTCACTGGCTCTCTCTGAGATAAATCCGTATCGTTTTGTGTTTTCTTTTAAGTTACTGGGCTTGGTAGCTGCTTGTTACCCAGCACCACTGCAGCAAGATAACGGCTACATATATTTACAGCCACAGTTCTTCAGCATTTACGTCTAAACTACCCTCAACACCAAATATTGACAATAGCGGATGGACTGCCTGAGTTCAAATCTACCTCTGTGACTTAACTTTATAACTTCAGGCAAGTTCATTCACCCAACACTTTTTCCTCAGTTTCCTTATCTATAAAATAGGGGTTTTATGGTGTTTACCTTGTGTAGAGTGTGTGAGAATTAAATTAACTCATTGATGTGAGGCATTTAGAACAGTGCCTGGCCCATGGGAAGCCTTAGTAGAGGTTAGCTCATTTTATTAATGAACCCCTACTACCACAAAACTACTACTACTAGAGAACTTCAAAGCCCCATATTTGCGTGATTATTTATAACAGTGCTCACTTGCATGTAAGAAAAACAGAACTAAATTCCTTAGAGAGAGTTTACTCAATATTTTCAAAGGTTTCCAGAATTTATCAAAGCAGTCATAGATAAGGGGAGAATGTCCAACACGCATTTGACTGAATAACCTGTTATAAGATAAACAACATGGACAGAAGCTACCTAATACGTTTTGCACAAAAAACACACAATGACCTCCACAGATATATATATTTACTAATGCAATAGTGATTGGAAGGATTCCTCTTAAAGATTATTTTTCCCAAAACTAGGGAGTTTAGGAGAGGGGTAAGGGGAGCACAGGGAGGCACCAAGCTGATCTCCGTTCTCTTGAAATATTTCTAGATTTTTATTACTCAGGTTTATAAAGTCTACTCTTAGGAAGAGCCTGAGAAGTGGCCTTATATGAAGACTTGCTCAATGTAGGAAAAGCCACAGCTCTCGGCTTCTGTTTGGACACATGCTGAAGATTAAGCTTCTGTTAACATTTTTGGTTGTTGTGAAGATTAAAAGTAGAGTCAGATCATGAGAGACCGAGTCCTCGGCTCTGAATGAGAGGCGTGCGTTATGTGCACATATGATGCAACCCCACTTGTTATTTCTAACATGGAGGCTGCAGTTGCCCCCTGTAGCCTCACTCCTTGGACGAATCCTTCAATCCAAGGCACAGAAATAAAACAGGCGTCGCTCTCATGATGGCCTTCATATTTGAGGACCGGCATCCCATGCTTCCCAAATCTTTACTTCCTTGATTCTTTCAATTATTGGAACATGATTTAATTTTCAGTCTTTCTCATCACAGAGGCAACAATTGGTCACCATGGAGAGCCCTCAGGTGGTCACCATTCCTCTTCAAATGGTGGGCTCTCAAAACAGGGCCCGTTCTTCAGATGTGGGCTAATCATCATGCTGCACAATTAGATGGCGGCTTCTTGTGAGGTCGCTGTAGGAGCAGCTATTTCAGACTTCCAGTTCACGTTGAAATTATTCTAAACTTCTACCTCAAGGACTATTTTTGATGCCTGCCAGATCTCTGGATAGAGATTTAGGATACCCTCAAACTGCACTGACTTGAAGAAAATACAATAAAAAAACAAACACTGATTTAGATTTAGTCTTTGAACACCGCATCCTGTGAGTTTCTCGGAGTCACTGCATTCCATCCAGAAATATTTCTGAATCCTGTTTTTCATCTCCCATGTATAACTTTTAAGGTTTCCCTCCTAAGTCGGTCACAGGCTCACTGAGCCCAGACATGGTGGCTGTTTCCTTAGTGCCTTCTGAGATGCCCACTCTTGGCTTAAATCCACGGATGGTCAATTATTCATGCTCTAATGCACAAAGATCACCTCCACCTTCTTCTGGGTCCATGAACGAATAAATGATCCCCTTAAGAAGTACATGCACATTCTTCCTCTAGTCACGTCACTCTATTTAATTAGCCATCAACTACACCTCAATTCTTAATATCTGTAGCCCACACATTCAGTTGTTTTCTGCCAATGACAAAACTGAAGCCAGAATCGGTAGAGTGCCTTTCAGTGCCTGCCTGGCAGAGTCTCAGAAAAAGGTTTTGCTATTGACCTGATGTTTTTTTTCTCTTTCTAATGAAGTGGAAAGTGTCCTATGAGCTGTCAAAGTCAGGAGGACCTCTCTCGATCTGATTCTGAGCAGCTGCCCTGGCAAATCTTAACGTAAAGAAGAAACAACCCAGGTGAAGAAGAGAAAACGGGTTAAACCCATTTAAAACGGCTTTGCCGGCAACACTGACCGAGCCCGGAGGCCCGATGTGGTGCTTCAGGCAACAGCAGTGACAGTGGATCGGAATGTCTGCTTGCCAGAGGAAATACATCAAGAGGAAACCATTAGTTCAAACTACCCTCCCCAAAGCCTCTCTAAATCGCCAGAAAGCTAAAGACAAAGTTAATTAAATGTTAAAATAATATAATGTAATGGCTCAGGCTCCTTTGGATCAAGGTAATAATCATCTACAGTGACATTTGCTTTGGGACCCTGGTGCGTTTTATAATACATCAGGGTCCACTGTATACTCTATGTATAATACATATATATGTCTTTTATCTTCAGTATTGGAGCATAATTTTATGTTAAATAATCATGAAGTTTATTTATTTATACGATGTGGAACAGTTTGGTCAAAACTGCCACATCCCCTATTGCAATAATGTAACCGTGGGAGAACTGATCATTGAATGTCCAGAAATGCCTGACAAACACGCCTCCCAGTTTACACAGAGGAGTGAACACACATCTCAGGCCCTGATGAGAAGAAAGAATAAGAGGCTATTTAAAATGTGCCTAGATAGCTTCAACACACCATCTACAGAGATCAGTGAATCTTCCGGAAACAATTTTGATTTAGCAGCTTAAATGAACTCATTCCTTATGCCATCATCCCAGTAATCTCTGATGGAAACAAATCAAGGTATGAGTTGTTCAAGGTGCTTGCGTGGTCAACTCGAAGCGGAGTTACACTTATGTTTTCAATGCTCCGGGGCTGTTTTCAACATTGTGACTCTCAGAGACTGCCACCCCTGCCCCTGTCCCTGCCCCGGTTACCTTAGAAACGAGGCTGGCCCTGTACGCAGCCAGGGCCTTCAGGTATTCCTTTTTGGCAGCTTCTGTTTTCCTTTTATACACCTATTAAAAGATCACAATCAGCACTGCCTTTAGCATACAAACCCTGAGCCATAAAATAACTGTTGCACAATTTAGGTCACAACATTCACTCACATAAAATGTTGGTCTTCGCGGCTTTGATTTTTTAAATGTAAACACACACATACACCCCCCCCCCCCAAAAAAACAACAATGCCCGGCCATCTCCACTGGAGCACAATTTTGATGTTTACTGTTGCAAATGAGAGAAAGATTTCAGGTCGTAGCATAGATTTCTTGAGAGTCACAGCTGAGGGCCTCATGCTAAGGCCATAAATAAGGTAGCAAAAAAAGAACAAAATTTGCTGCAAATGCTTTCAATTATAGAAAGTAATGAGTTTTTCTCCACCAGTGTCCTCTTTCCCTCACACACATTTCTAAACTGTACCAAATCAGAGAATTAAAACACCACCAACAATTGGTAGTGGGTGAAGACAGAAAAGATGGGGGCCTCTCGACCTGGGTTTTCTTCCGAAGAAGCAAAAAGTCAGAAATAGGAAAAGATGGGAGATTTCCATTAGGGGGACCAATGAGTTACATGACTACTTCCCAGTATATTAAACATGATTTGGGCTTCTTTTCCTAACAGTGGTCTGATGGCTGGATGTTGGACCAGGCACAATTATCTTTCTCTCTGGAGTTTAAAAGTTAGATCCAGCAGTTCGCCTGCCCCTTGGGGTCCCGTTTCTGGGATAGAAAAGCAGTCTGTTACGTACGGCAACTCGCTCACTGCAATCAAACAGGCAAACTGTGTAGTTGCACCATCCCAACAAAACCAGCTAGCAAAAATGAGTTCTTGATTTGTAAAGAAAAACAATCCAGGGTTTCCCACTGTTCAATGCTGAAGCAGTTATTCCGTTATTACCAATAGGGGCCTATTCTTCTGAGGATATGTAAAGGCAATGCCTATGAATGGTCATTGGGGTTTCATGCACGGAACAAGGGGAGGGCTGACCCCCAAAGAAGCCATTTTTTTCTGCACTGTGTGGAGCCACGTGGGGGAAGAGCAGAGACCAGGCCCTACGGAAGTATCTCCCACCAGCATGGCTAACCTCTCAATATCGCTCAGACTGCCGAGCTTTCAAATGAACTTGGAATAAAATTGCAAATGCCCGGTGACAATAATGAGACACACAGAGGCAGCTTCAAAGTTAGGAAACCCACAAGGCTAGCACAAGAGTTCATAAAGATGATCAAAGAAAAGGCAAGCAGGATGGACCTAATCGCTTTGTAGTGCCCTTTTTGAACAAAAGGGGGAAAATTCCACACTACTTAAAATGGGATGATCATCAAAAGTTTACGCTTGCAGGGTACTGCGTGGATTTTCTCCAACTCTCCTCTCAATGGGCTGTGAACCCTTAAGGGGACTGAGGAATCCATATAACCGGAGAGTGGTTTGAGTTTATATAGTTGTGCTTTCTAATTCCATAGCGTAGAAAGGCTTTCGTGAGAGGCGATCATATGAAGTGGATGTATTCACTCAGAAAAGGTGTAAGGAACGCCGATGACTTTTTAATACGCGGCCATGATGGATTGTTGCCTTACCTGCTTTTGTTCTTCTCCAAGGCTGTCCCACATAGATGCTACGATTTTTGAGACCTCTCCAAAGGTTGCATTGGGATTTTGACCTTTAATTGCAGCCTGTGTGTCTCTGAAAAACAGGGCATATGCTGACACTGGCTTCTGGGGTTCATTGGGATCTTTCTTTTTCTTTTTCTTTGGAGTCTTGGGCTTCTTGCCAGAATCGGGAGCAGCTCTTTTCTCTCCAATGGCCTGCAAAGTAAGAAGAAAACTCACTGCTTGGAACGTTGTTTGCAGAGAGTCCAGCAAGACTTACTCAGGTCCGCAAATGTTCTGCTAAGGTTTTGTGAAGCGTCATCAACAGATGAATCACCACCCAGAGTGGGGGAGGGGTGGTTTTGCTCAGAATTAACTGGACAGCAGAGCTCAGCATTTAGAACATTGATTAATGAGACTCAGAAGTATCTTCAATACATTCACGACATATGCTCTAAGTAGCAATTATGAGTAATGAAAAGCAGAACGCTGTACCAGGCAATGCTGTATATACGCTAGGCTACACATGTATACATAAACAAAACATGTTACCTCTTCAGAGGTTTCAGAAGTAAACTTCAATAACATTCAGGAGGTTGAGCGCATTCAGATATTTTAAATGAGGTCCCTTGCCGTAGTCACATGCCATATGTATGATCGGCCCAAATTGATTTTTTGAGGCTGAGCTTTTTATTTGACCAGACTAGTACTTTGCTAATGAGTCTCCGGAAACTCAAATGGGAATTCACGACAATCCCTTAGCTTGCACAATAAGGGCCAGGCCATCTTCATTTTCTAAAATAATAACTTTCTAAAGACTAGGACAACAAGAAATGTAAAAAAGGTCAAAACTCCTTTAACTGGAGATTGAAAGGAAACTGACACCCTTCACAAAAATCGAAAACCTGTAACAGAGCAAGAGTTGATATTTAAACTCACCAAGGCTAAAAAGGCTAAGAAGATACTTGTTATGTGTGATGAGTAAGCCTACCCAGAAGAATACTCCTGTAGAGACGCTTGCTCATATTCAGGATATGTACTCTGTGAGATCAAAACCACAGAAATGATATGGGTACTGCTCTCCAACCACACACACCACTGCGCTCCAGACTCATGTGCTACCATCATCTAATTTCAACGATCATATAACACACTTATCAGAGAAGCAGGGGAGACAATTTATCAACCTTGTTTCATCCCCCTAGATTATGATGTAACTATATTGAAGATAATTTTGCAGCTAACTTCATCAAGAACCTTGAAGCGTTTGACAAAAATCTGTTTTAAAAGCCAGCCTTGGGCGAGATCAACAGAGATAGATTGGAGTTACTAACAGATTGGCTTTTAATGACTTTGAGTCTTCAATCCTAATTCAAATTTTCTAAGAGTATCATTACTTTCTGAACGAGGGTCATTTGGAACTTAATCCAATTACTGAAATTCCTCAGGAGGAAATGGGTAACTTGTTTCTGACAGCTGGGAAACCACTAGTCTGCTTCCAAGTGGGCTTATTTTTTGTACTATTTGAGTGATAACAACATCCATACTTTATACAAATAGTTTACATACTTCAGATGGCGTTAAACCATATCTCACCTCTCCTCCAAAACGCCATCTTCCCAAACTCACACAATTAATTTTAACTTTATAGACCTCATAGTCTTTTTTTCTAAATGCTCAGAATAAGTGAGACTTGTTTAATTCTAATTAATGAATTTGAACTTGCAAGGGAGTCAGATGCCTTTCAGTTACGGCTTCAAATGGAGTCAAGTTTTTCTTCAATGAAAAAATATTTAGACACACACACACACACACACACACACACACACAGGTTTTTCTAAGTGAGTCAAACACCTATATGCTTTTCATGGAAGAACATTTGGTACTGTTTGCACCTACAACAATACCCTAACCAATGACAACATGAAAGTAATTTTCAGGGCAGCTTTTTTCCAAATGAGAGGAGTTCAATTCCATTCTCTGTAAAAACAAACAAACAAAAACATTCCAATGTTGACAACCTTTGGCCTCTTTCTTGGATAAACTCGACTTGCCCTAAAGCATCGTTACCTTTTAAGAGCAAACCAGAAATGTAGACTATCTCACCATTTAAAATAAACGCCTAGAATTAATTCTCCTGAAGAAACTTTTGTGTAGTTGACTCAAAAGGGTTGTGCAAGGGGAAGAAGTAGCCTTTCCCAAAAGACAGCTGACCTTCGATAAAGCTAATCTTCCTTTCTCAACTAAGTTGCTTAAAAGAGAACAAACTGGATTCCTTGCCTTTATATAGAACATAGACCCTTGCTTAAAACGGAGCAGACTCAGGAGTCGCAGACCAGGTTCTCTGTAGGCGCGCCAACTTTCAGATTGGCACAGAGGTAAGTGTTCAGATCGGTGGGAATGTGACCGAGAGGGAAGGTGTCTACCTGAATTGTGTAGTGACCGTCTATATCTCAGCTGGGCCTTCTTTGCATGCCTTGAGTTCCTCTAGTCATTATTTCTCACTTCACCTCATGCAATCCTTGTCAGTGTGAGCATGATGCTAGTGCATTTGCCCAGGGGGGTGCTAACATGGTGCCATAGCCCAAGCCCTCCTTCAAATCACTACAGCATGGCTCTCACCTCCCTGCTCTTCTCATCCTCTCTGTCTTCTCTAGCTCCTCTTCTTCCATTTGCCACTTAATAATAAATGATGCTCAGGGTTCTGGCCTTGGCTTGCTGCTTGCACATTCTGAGGAATCCTGATTGCTTCCATGTCTTCAGGTCTATGTGCTGATGGTCCCAAGTCTATAGTTTTACCTCCAATGCACTGAGTTTAGCCTTAAGAATAAGCACTTCAAATCCAGCCCATGCCATGCCAAACTCTTATCATCCCCCTGGGGAAACCTAACACTCCTCTCTTTCTGGGTTGACCCTCTCAGTTACTGATCTCCACACTGACTCTCAAACTAAAACCCAATTTATCTTCCACTTCCTTCAAATGCCAGTGGATCACCAAACCTTAATGATTCCCCTTCTTAAATGGCTCACTACTCAGGTACGTCCTGTCCATTCCTTCCTTTGCTAAAAGGAAACACATCATAAAAAGGGGTTCTTTTTTTGGTTTCCTTTTCTCCATTCTCTCCCTTTGAAATGCAGTCCATGTAGAGCCCAAGTTATCTTTCCAAAGGATAGATTTGCTTACGCCATCCTTCTCTGAAAATAATCAGCTCTCAACTAGCAGCAGGAGAAAGGCCACCACATTTTGGCCATTTCTTTCTTCAACTCCATATCAAACTATTCATGACACCCATAAATTGACACACACTTCCACTGCTCCCTCTCCTGGAATGCAGGACTCTCTCTTCTGCCTCAGAAACTTTCATGCAACCTCTTAGACCTAATTCAAATATCACCTTCCCAGTAAAGTCTTCCTCAGATCATTTTCCCAAGCAGAATCGATAACAACCTCAGCACACCAGATACATCCATTATACCACTAATCACATCTGCAGTTCGTTTTCAACACCGCTATTCATCCCCAGCGGGGGGTCCCATGGGTAGTAATTCTCTTATAATTCCTTACATCACCAGAACCAAGTAGAATGCCAAGCGCAGAGTAGGGGTACGCCACATAATTAACGAATAAGGAATGAGTAACTGTGTACCCAGAATAAAGAACTTTAATGAACAGAACACTTTTCTCAGCATTCAGAAAAGTCATGCCTGCAACTAAGTTTTTATTTCAAACTACGTACATACATTTTCCATGACAAAAGCCAAGTTGTGAAATGATTAGGACTTACTAGGTGACAACACATCATCCAAGGCACAATGCTGTCCAAGTGGCAGCCGTTCAGCCACGTCACGGGATGAAACTCAGCCACACGGACATCAGCTTTGAACCAGAGCAGTTCAGAAACCCTGGAAAGTCACCTGGCAAGCCTTCGCTCAATGCCTTACAACTAGTAGAATTTCCAGTTGAATACACAGAAAATAAATAAGAAAAAGAATTGAAGAAAAGAATTAAACCACCATAAATTTAAATGCTACTCCAAATCCATGAAGAAAAAGCAAGTAATGCCGTGAATGAAGTTCAAAGCCATGAGCAGGCGGCGGCCCCGAATCCTCGGGATGGTTTTGTATTGAGGCGGGGCACTTACTCTGCTGGATTCGTCAGCGTCCTCTTCATTGATGGAGCTCGAAGGCGAGGGGGTGGCCGACTTGCTCGCTGGAGGTGAAGGAGAAGTGTGGGGCAGGCTGGCCCCTCCCAGATTCAGCCCCAGCTGGGCACTGAGCTGAGACTGGTTGATGGTGGTGAGCTGGGCTGGAGGCATGACCCCGGAGCGGGCAGCATCGGTCATGTGGACGATGGACCTCATGATCAAGGAGGGGTCCTGCCGGTACTGGGACACTTGTGCATGGCTCTGATCCTAAAAAGGCAGCAAGGAGGAGGGAAACTCTTTTAATTTTCCCAAATATCAAAGGACTTATGAGGACTGGGGGAGTGGGGGGAGGGATGGGAGGTGGGAGGGCGTGGGGGGGTGCGAAATGGGTGAAGAGGATCAAAAGGTACCAACTTCCAGTTATAAAATAAATAGGTCCCAGGGTTGTCATGTACGGACATGGTGACTACAGTTAATCATACTGGGTTTCATATTTGAAAGTTGCTAAGAGAGTAAATCTTCAAAGTCCTCATCACAGAAAAACCAATATTTTTAAAACTAGGTATGGTGACTGATGTTAACTAGACTTATTGTGGTGATCATTCACAATGTACACAAATATCAAAATCATTATGTTGTACACCTGAAGCTAATATAATGCCATATGCCAACTGTACCGCAATTTTAAAAAAATCAATGGAATTATCTTAGCAACTCCTCAGATGGGTTTGATCTGTTGCAATTTTGATAGTTCTGACCTATCCCAGAATGGTGGTCGTTATTAATTTATTAACTGTAAGGACCCATGCCCCGAAGCCGAGTGGTCAAAAACCACAAGGGCCGAATTATCTGGCCTAGTCAGTCAATTTCAGGTTAGAACAATGTCACTGGGTGACTTTAAAATAATAAGACTATTGGCAAAGGAAAGCTAAACTTCCCACTCTTGCTTCTTATGGACGCAACTGATGACAAGGAAAGGGCTGAAGCAGAGGTCTCACCCTTTCAGGCTCACCAGTGGTCTGCCATCCTCCTCATACGTGTGATTCTGGTTCCATGACCCTTGACCCAGCTCTGAGAGGAGGAGAACCAGTTCTCTATTTTATCCTTCCAGGAATGCGTATGACCTACGAGGACGGGCTGGGCAAGCACTGAGCAAACATCTGTTTGCTTCCGGGCGTCTTTTCTGCAAACCCCTCTGTGGTTAACCAGAGGGTCATTCCCATTCTGAATTACAATGTCAACAGCATCTGGAAGTCATTCAATGTCTTTAAGGATTGGATATCCCTTGTTTCATCTTAAACCTGCTTTGTTTTCTTTTGTTCAACCCACCATGATTTAATGCACTAATGGATTTTTTAAAATATGTATAAAGACAAGGTACAGATCATCAGAATTAGCTTCTCTGAAAGTTACTGCAGCCACTTCAAAAGTAGCCTTCTGTTTTTGGCAGCCATATGAAAGGCTTTAGAATTGTTGCTTCTTTCTTTCTAATTCCAAAGAATTTAAAAAAAAAAAAATGAAGACATGCTTTTCAAACGACTTACTTTAAGACTTGTCATTTAAACTGAGTCTGTGATTTTATTGAAACCAAATTCTCTTGACTCACAGTGACCCAGAATCTAATTTTATACATAAGCCTATGAATTCTTAACTGTTCCACTTTTGAGTCTTTCTGATAAGTCTTCTTTTTGCTCTTTAAAGAAACAAGTGAATTATAAATAACTAAATCAGAACATTTGGTTTCATAATAGTAAGTATATAAATGCCATAAATAAGAAGCCATAGCTATCAATAGGAAACTAGTTGAATAAATTACGATCTACCATACTACCAAGTATTACGAAGCTTTTTCAAATTATGAGTTAGATTTATGTGTATTGACCTATAGCAGGCTTTCTCAATCTTGGGTCTATTAACATTTTGGACCAGACAGTCTCGGTTGTGGGGGCTGTTCTTTGCATTGGAGGGTGTTTATAGCAACCCTGGCCTCCACCTTCCTGATGCCAGTAGCAACCTCCCTCTCCCCACCAGTCATGACAATCAAAAATGTCTCCAGACAGTGCCCCCTGGGGGGCAAAATGGCTCCAGGTTGAGAACCCCTGATTAGAGTCATATGCAAAACACAGGAAGTGAAAAAGCAAGTTGCAAAATAATTACAGAGTACAGCCTCTTTTTGTTTAAAAAGAAAAGTGTATATCCAAACTCTTAACAATGGTTATATTATAAGGGGTAAGATTGGAGGACTAAGAAGGGAAGCATCTTCACATTTTCCATGTATAAAACCACAAAACAAAATAAACTAAAACACTTTAGTCAGGAAAAACTAAAAAGAAGATATACACGTAGTTAAAACAGTCGGTAGTTAGTTGCTAAGATTGAATACTAAATATATAAATTTTCCATTTCTGAATAATTTCTGAGTTATCAGTTTGCCTGTGGAATCCTGGAGAAATGGGTTACGCATATCAGAACAATCCCACTCTCCTTTGTCTTTCTGACAACAATCTCTTCCGCTGATCTTGAAATATTACATTCTATTGTCAGACGTCTCTCACGGACTTGTATCACAAAAGTGGATTTTACACGATTAGTTTGTCTCAGGTTTTATTAGCATTCTACTACACACTTAGCTATTTCTCTTCAAAAACATGAGCTGTCTGTCCACTCTGCCACGTTTTTGAAAGTTCCACCATTGTTCGCTTCCATCACTTCCATCCCCCAACTACTGGGAATTAAGCTATCTTATTCTTAATTCTTNTATATATATATATATATATATATATATATATATATATATATGCCTTTCAGAATGCTTTTTAAAAGTCCTTTCAGATGTATTTAAATCTAAAGATTTTAAAATATCTGCAAGCAACTTCCAGAGTACATTTAAATTAAGCATTTTAATTCTGACTGCATAATGATAAATTAGCTAACTGGCATGGCCATAAAATACGATTTACACAGCTTTCTCATTAACAGTTATTTTGCCCTTTTACTCCAATGAAAATCAGCACATATAGATACCGGGTTGGCTCATCCCACACCGAGAGCATTTCCGATGGATCTCACGGGCAAACAAGAAACCAAGAAGTTAGTTTTCTTGGCTTCACCAGCTCTTCCTGAATTTCGCCTGCAATTTATGCCTTTATTGTGGACCTAGTTGCTTGTGAGTTCCTGTTGACAAACAGTCAGGGTTCACTGTACTCAAAAGGAACATTTACTGTATGTTATTATGTAACATACATAGCATGTTACGTTACTTACATATGTTGTGTCACTTTGCACAATGTGCTAAGCTTAACATACATTTTCCAAGTCAGTCTTCTAAAGAGCTTCCAGAATTAGATGCTATTATACACATTCTTAGGTAAGAGTGACTCCCCGGGGCCACAAAGCCAGTGATGGTGGTGGGAAAACTGGGCAGTCAGGAGCCCTGGGGACTCAGCGGTAAAGGCACATATTCACGGAGAGAGATGAAGGGGTCTCTGGGCTCTACAGTTCCACCATTTCCCTTTAACAAATGCAACTCCATTTTCATTTGTTTTATAAATTGAGATTCATCGTAACATTTCACTTAAAAAAGACAAAAGAAAAGAGGGTTCTTCTGCAGTAGGGACAGAGTGAAAACTACCCCTGAAAAATACTGGTGGTGAGGCCAAATCCTTGCTAAAACTTAAGAGTCATCCACATAGTTTTCAAATCCAAACAAAGGCTGGCCCTATCTTTCTGATCTCCCACAGGACAATATACCAAGGGACTCATAAACAATATTTTCATGTAACTTCTGAACTACATAATCGATGCATCAAAATGTGCTAGCATTTACCATGGTCCACAGTTATCTGAGAATAACTTCCTATGTGTGCAGATTACAGTATAAGAAGATTAATGGTGAAAATGTCTCTTCCGAGATTCGAGTTCCTTTAGGGCCACCAATTATTAACAACGGCCTTGGGGAACTTGGCAGTCCTTAAAGACCCCAATCATTTTCCAGGAAAACAAAAAAGTAGCCCTTAAAAGATGCTTCCTTTGATCTTAGGATTCCCACTTAAAAAGAGAAAGATATCAGCTCAGTTTAAAGATATTTATTGAGCACCTACTACTATGTGTCAGGCTAGAGCAGCCAATAAACCAATGCTCATATCTTTGAAATGAGAAAAAAGGATTGTCATTCTTTTAAACATTAAACATAATTTACAATGAACTAATAAATTTACTATGACAAAGTGTAGGCAAGAATAATTCATACACATTCTTTCAAAATAGCTCAATTTTTCCTAGTAGTAATGACATGATAAGGAAATGTATAGCTATGGATATATATTTCTTATTCCTTCTTGGGATATAACCTAAGAAATATAATGCCTTTTTATAAATCATTACCTCTCAGTTATTAAAGTCTTAAAATATTTATCAGTGACCACTGAAGAACAAGGAACTAGTGGGTTATAAGAGATTGTCACTATCATATTCAACAGTGCGAGTTGAACGCTGGTACCTATTTTGGTAAAATCCCATTTTATATGTAGGGTTTATTTGTATCATTTTCTACATTGTTCATCATGTGGGAAAAACTCATTCTCTCTTCTTGGCCTAACTCCGTCCTCTAATTGATAATATTAGATAGGAGTTTCTCAACCTCGGCTGTATTGACAACTTGGTCTATTGGGTTGTCGGAAAAGTGATGACGCATTTTTGCAACGAAAAACAGAAAAAAATACATCATGACTTTTCCGACAACCCAACAGGTAATTCTTTGTTGGGGGAGGGGCAGCCTCTGCACTGTAAATGCTTAGCAGCACCTCTGGCTTCTACCACTAGATGCCAGGAGCCTCCTCTCCCCCACCAGGTTGTGACAACCACATTGTCTCCAGGCCCTGGCAAGGGTCTCCTGGGGGGCCAAATGCCCCTCGTTTGAGAACTTCTTAATCAGACAAATATAATGGGAATCATCTTGGGGGAGGGGAGGGTCTAAAGCCTGTGTCCTGTGTGCATACACAGAAAACATGTGTATAAACAAAATTCCTATTGTGATAAATACTGTGAAGATATAGGTTATACAAAAAAAAAAAGTTTTGTGGGAGGGCGACTCCATTTGATTGGGTCAGTAGGGAAGCCGTCTCTGAGCTGACATCTGAGCTGATAGCTAAACGATGCAGAAGAGCCAACCATCAAACAAAGGGAAAGTTACGTTCCAGGCTGAGGGAACAACATATGCAAAGTCTGAGGAGGGAGAGAGCTTGGCACGCTTGAGAAATGGAGAGGAG